CCGCCCCGCCGCCCCAAACAATGCGCCCCATTGGCCGGCGGGGCGCGGGCGCCGCCGCGGAGGCTGGGCGGTCTCCACGGCGCTGGCCAATAGTAGCGCGGCGCGCGGAGGGTGACGACAGCGTGACGCAGAGGAAGAGGAGGCAGCCGCGCGACCCTGGAGGGGAGGAGAGGAGGAGCGAGGCGAAACGCAAGCGCTCGTTGCTGATTGGCGCAAAGGAGGAACCAATGGAACACCGTGTAGGCGGGGCTCGTGGCCAAGCTCCAGGTTCTCATTGGTCGAAATGTGCTCATTTGCATGGCTGCTCCATTTATACCTCATGAGCGGGCTTATCCCCTCAGTGGGCGGCTGAGGGAAGGCGCTGTGGTTGGGAGTTGGTGTAGTTCCCTTGTGCCTGCCAAGGAGGGAGAGGCAGTGTCGGGGCTRCTTTCTCCTCTAACTGCCCATGGTTTTACTGGGCCAGGCTCTAGATTCACATTGGATTCAAATACTGGGGTTCTTGCGTGTCAAAGCTGCTAAGCATAACAAGATAAGGAGACCTGTGTAGCTTTTGGGAGCACAGTGGTATAAGGGATCTTCTCAGAGCTTGGAGTTAGCATCTCTGTGGTGTAGACGAAGGGAACTGCTAATTCTTGCTGCTTTTTTTAATGAGTTTTTAAGAAATGGGGGGGGTACTGGCAGTTCATCTGAGCCCTGGGAGCTGTCCATCTGCTGAGGCCCTCAGAAAATTGTGGCCTGGGTTTTYCAAAAGTTCTGGGCACAGAGGATCACTGACGAAGCAGAGGGGCTGTTGAAGAGCTTCCTTTCCCAATTGTTTATTTGCCRCTATTTAATTAAATACTGTAGTTCTAGTAAACTCTGAGAAGTGTAGATACACGAAAATGGAGCGTTTCCCACACCGTTTCCCAGAATTAAGAAGCTGTGTTCAGTGAGATGCTGAACTATGTCAAAGGCGCTTGAATTTCACTTGCTAACCAAGCCTTTAGGCGCTCTCTCTCCAACAATGGCCGCTTGATGTTTGTGTTGTGATTTCTTGATAACTGTCAGAAAAATGATTCCAGTGAGGGCTGATGCTGTGTGACTTTTTTTTTTTTTTTTTTAAAGTGGGGAATATGAGGTCTCTTTTTAATGCTTAAAGGAAATCATGGGATATTTTCATCTTCCCTTGAGGGAAAAAAAAATCCTTGTGAACTAAATTTAAAAGCAACAAATTAATGATTCAAAAACTTCTCAGTCACTTGCAGACTCTCGAGGGGGTTCACAAAGACTGTGTCAGAACCATATGCAGAGCTCTATGTACTTCAACATGCCTAGAGCACATAATCTCCTTGGACATGTTCTTACCATAGCRTGCAATTCTGCGTAGCTGTGATTAAACGGGGTTATTGCTCTAAATAGAATTTGTAAATTAAAAAGAGCTAAATTGCCTATTGATCTTGTGTGGAAAACCCACGCACAAGAAGTTTGGGCTTGAGCAGAACACACACAAGTTTGAAGTTTGTGTCTTTACAAAGCAGGGAGGAAATTGCTCCCCCTTCTTTGGCTGATGAGCAGGACAAAGGAACCCAGGCAGGTGGAAGACTGAGGGGAGCCCGGGCGTGAGGGACACAAGGAGTCGGGTGACCTGAGGTKCGAACACATGGAGGGAGGCAGTGGTTGGCTGTGACTCCTGAGTCCCTTGGCCCATGGGGAAAAGGAGAGGGCCACCGCAGCCGGGAAAYGAGGATAAAAGGGGGGCTCTATGGTTTTCTAGACTAGGCAGCAACATTAGGCTGGGTTTACTGCACATCCTGTGTGTTTCAAGGCATCAGTAACTGCATGCTTGACAGAAACAATTTGTTTTCCTCTCCTGCATGGTTTCTCTAGCAGAAAGACAAAGTTCGTATGTCGAAATGTATTCTGTTGAGCTTTTAATTTTGTATCTAATGTGCACGCATTAAACTACTTTTCTGATGACCTTAGGTTTAAAAAAAAAAAAAAAAAAAAAGTGTGTTTTCCCTCAAGGGAACAATCAGGAGTGAGGCAGTCTAGGTAGGATGCAGAATTTCCTCTACAAAGTTAGTTTAGGACACTTCGCTCCAGCCGCCGGAGGGGAGATGGTTTCGCTGCACCCGAGGCTCCTGCTTTCAACGTGCGGGCGGGCGGAGCGCTCGGCTCTTTCCGCCGCTCTCCGCAATTTCAGCGGGCCGCCGCGGACTCGCTTCGGCACTTTCCGCTGTCCCGCTTCGGCACTTTCCGCGTCCCCTCGGCCGCCGTTCGGGCGTTTCCGCGTCCCCTCGGCCGCCGTTCGGGCGTTTCCGCGTCCCCTCGGCCGCCGTTCGGGCGTTTCCGCGGCAGGCTCGGTGCGTTGTCGGGGTAACGCGGAGCGGCGCCGGCCCCGTGCCGCCGGCAGGTAGGATCGGGCGGCGGGGCCTCGGGCCGCCCGGGCGGGACGGAGGCCGCGGGGGGCGGGAGCCGAGCTTAGGCCGGGAGCCGAGCTTAGGCCGGGAGCCGCCCCCTGCCCCCGGGCCTTGGGGGGGCTTCGCAGGGCTCGTTGCTCGCCGGCGCTAGGCCCCCGGGTGCCCCCCGTGAACAGGGTGGGCTTCGCGCTGCCCCGCGTGCAGGGGAAGGGGCCTTGGAAAGGGGCTGAACGGGGCCCTGCGTGTTTTTTCTCTCACTCYGTCCCCTCCTTGTTGATTCAGAGTAAATTTTCACTGCTTAAAGAGTATTAACCTTTACCAGGCTTTTATAGCCTAACTTGAATTTTGTCTTTTTTTTTTTTTTTCCCTTATAGGTAAGGGTAGTTAAACCAAAAGCTGTGGTTTTGTATTGAGAACTCTGTCAGGAAAACATCCGAGCGTGCACGTACATAAAAGCAGTTTTGATCGGCCCGCTTGGTGATGCTTTTCTYGTAGACTCCTGAGTTGGTTGATAATCTTTAATGCTTGTAAACGTAATCTGGGTTACCTGTCCTAGATTCTAAATGCACAGATAATGTTATCACACGGGACACATAAACAACTTTAAGACCTGTCACCAAATACAGAATAGCATATATATATATATATATTTCTGAATATGAATTATTACCCTTTGAAATATTTCAATTCAGGCCCGCTGCTTTTCTTTGTAGCAAAAAAAAAAAAGCCTTACCAGTATTCACCTAGATACTGGTGCAGTACGTGCGGATGTGAGCTGATATACTCAGCAATCAGCTTTGGTYTCATTTGCTCTTTTTTATTTTTTTCCTTGCAAAGGCATTTTTTTGAGAGAGATCTGTCAGGATAATGAATTGCTAAGATATTGAATGCCACATACAAAACAATGAATGATTTTAAGTCATTTTGTGCCATGAGAAATGTAGTTACATAAACTGTTTATTTAMATATAGTTATTAGACCATTTTATTGGTTAAAAAATGTTATTGGTCAAAGTTATTGAGGTGGAAAAAAGTGMTATGGAGTGTTGTCTGTAATTTGCACAGCAATATCTCTAGCTCTTGCTTCAGTAGGTGTCAGTCAACCTTTATGGAAATACACATTTTTGGTTGGAAAATTGTTCTTGCTCTGCACTCGAGCTAAAAAGGATAGAGACGTCTTATCTGTAAAAAGTTGACAAAATATCTTTTTTTTTATTTAGACWTCATAGATTTTTATTTGAACCTAAAATGGACTATTACTGAAAGTTCGAAGCCAATATAAAATGTACTTAAATGTGGAATAACTTCTTTCCACAATAAAATATTATGAATATTTGAATTAACATTAGAGACAAGACACTGAACTGCCAGTGTTTAAGGCTAAATACGCATGTACATCTGCAGGTTCTTGGTCAGGTTACAAGGCTAAGAGAACCAGGAATCTATGGATTATGAGACATATTACCTTATATCTTTATTTTGTCTCCCCCTCCCCCCCTTTTTTTTTTGCCTGCTCTTACATGTTATAAACGTTCATTTGTCTTGGACAGGTTTGCAGTGTGTAATAGTTTCTGCTATGGCTGTGTATGTGGATCATCAAATAGAAGCTCCTGATTCGGTTGCGTCCCCCTCTCACATAACGTGGCACCCACTTCACCCGCTCCTGGCGGTTGCTTCCRTCAGCACAGCGTCTGGGGGCTGCGTGGATGTCTATCTGGAACAGGTARAAGCAGTCAGAAACTTGGCTTTTGGATGTGCTGTCATTTTGCTGCTTTAAAACTTTGCTTGTGTTTTCCCTGTATTTGTACCCTTACCTGTGTTCCTTCAATCTTCTCCTCTCCATTTTCATTACTATTCATGTCTTGTGCAATTTAGGACAAGTCAGAGTCATCACTTACAGGTATTTCATAAAAAGTTCAAGTTCTTCATTGATTATATTGATCTTTCCACTGAAATTTATTTTTTTTATGGTTCTTAGGTCTTTTTTTTCTGCTGGCAACTAATTTGCCTTTAAAACTTAAGACACTTGGTACTTGTGAGAGGAGAATTCAAATTTAAAAATAAAATGGATGCATTCTTCTTTTTTAGAAAAACTAAGCAAATAAAATGTATTAAGAAATACAAGGAAACATCCTCCATTTCAAGAACAAGCTGATTTGCTAGAGCCAGATAATTGAGTATGTGGTTCCTACATGCAGTTGCTACCTGCWTAGAGGCCTTTTAACACTAGTATATTATGTATCCTCAGTAAAACTGCTGTATTGTTTTTCAGAAAAATAACTACTGGCTTCAAATCTAGCAGAAGCCTTCTCATCCTTCCTTCAGGAATAAAGTTCAGGATTGTGAGAGCTGCTCATGAAGGCTTGAGGGAAAAATAGCCTGGAACAGCAGAGTGAAGCAGTTGTTTTTAACCATGTTCTCATTAGCAGTTTTGAAGTGGATGCACTGCCTATCGTAGTGCGTTTTTATGCATATAGAACAGACATAAACCAAGTCTGTGTAGCTATCTCSTATGTTTTGCAGGGTGCTCTGTTATATGCCTGTATTCTATAAGACAGAAAAATGTGGCCAGTCAGGCAAGCAGGTGTGAAGACGTAGCTGCACTGTGGTGCTGAGCTGCAGTTGCACCAACCTCCGCTCGCTCTCTCTTTCAGGGAGAACACGTGTCTGAGGTGCATGTGGAGAGAAGCTTTCGGGTCACGGCCCTCTCCTGGCAGCCCTCCCGGCTGGTTTTGGCAGCAGGCTGGGAGACTGGTGAGGTTGTGGTACTCAACAAACAAGACAGGGAGCAGCACGTTGTCCCTCCCACGCACACTGCGGAAATTACAGTCCTGAACTGGAGTACAAATGGTACCCGCCTTGTGTCCGGTGATAGGGTAAGTGGTGAAATGCCCAAAATGGTTTTGGTGTGGACTACAACGTTGCAAACCCCACTGACAGAAGAGGTTTGTAGAATGGACTACCAATGGGCTACTAGTTTGAGGAGGAAAGTTCAATTTTATTGGTCTAGGTACAAATTAGTGGATGGAATAGCAGAGGCACAGAAAAATTTATTTTTTCATGTCTGTGGAGGACTTTTTTTGGCAGATCATAGAATCAATCCAAAATGTCTAGAATCAAAGTTCTGTAGGAGGGCTGCAGTATATTTATCCATTACACATGCCTAGTTGCCCTCACTTAAATACTTAAAAACACATTAATCTCTCTCGTGTTAATGTAGATTGTCTTATTTTCAATAATGCTCTAAGAATAAGTGGCAGCTATTTTGTTGAAAATACATCGTGAAGAAACATTTTGAAATGTGTTTGTCTATTTCTTAATGAGCTGCTTGCCTTTTGACAGTGAAATGAGAAGTTAGCTATTGCATATTCAGTATTCAGGATTGTGGAGTATTTTGATTTTGTTAGTTCTTGAGTCGGCAAATAAAAAATCTTTTTTTTTTTTGTTATCATCTCCTTGATACAAAATTAAGTTTGTCCAAGAATTTTAGTTCTTTGCTTTGAGAATTCTTGTCTGCAAGGGTCAAAGGAAAAGCTGATGGAAATGTTAGAAGAGCAACCAGTAAGGCATGAATTTTTTGTGCTTTARTGTGCTATCTAGAGACAGAGTCACCCGTTGATGGCCTCTTGGAAGTTTGGTAGTGCAGTTTTACAGCTGCATAGTCTTTAAGCTGAAAGAGACAGCATTGCATTTGGTAAAGGATTTTGGATGGTATAAATATTATCATCTTACTGCTCAAAGGAATTTAGGACTTTGGTTCCTGGYGCTTAGGAGAAAAGAAATAAGTATTTCCTCAAAAGGCCTCAACTGCATCTCCTGTGGGTTCAAGTTAGAGCTGTGAAGTGTAAGCAGATCCTGCTGTTACTGCTCTTTTGTTTCTATAATAGTCCATTAAAAACAGTGAAGAGAAATAGAGAAAACTGTAATATATTTTAAATTGTGATTTGTCTGAATGAAACAAAATGAGATTAAACTTTAGGCTACAAATAGACTTTTTTTTTCCATGCAGCGCTTTCACCATAGGCTTCCGGATGCAATTTGGTTCCTTAGCATTAGCATAATGACACTAATAAATAATAAGTCTTAAAATTCCAGCTGTGAAGCTGTAGTGTGAGTTGGCCTTGTTACCGTGTGTGTCCTGCTGCACTGTCCTTTCATTTTTCTGCAGTCAGCAGGGGTTTGAAATTCATCCTCATCCTGAGCTGGCGCAGCAAAATGCCCATTCACTCAGAATGTGTGCCAGGCTGTGAGGTTTGCCCAGTGGCTGCCCTTTCTGGCTGTAGCATCTGTAGGTGTTCGGGCTCCAGGACAGGTTGTACATCACTASTTGGTGTATAAAAATGGCAGCTTAAGGATATCACAGAATCACAGAATCTTAAAGGTTGGAAGGGACTTCTAGAGATCGTCTAGTCCAACCTTCCTGCTCCAGCAGGCACAGCTAGAGCATGTGGCACAGGGTGGCAKCCAGGCGGGTTTGAAGACCTCCAGAGAAGGAGACTCCACARCCTCCCTGGGCAGCCAGTGCCAGGGCTCTGTCACCCTCACAGTGAAGAAGTTCCYCMTCACCTGGAGATGGAACCTCCTCTGTTTCAGCTTGCACCCATAATGAAAGATATGATCTTTCATAATAATATTACAGTTACAGTCCTCAGATATAATTGATTTCTTGATATTTTATCAGGAATATCAGGAAATATCAGGAATATTATATCAGGAATAATCGTATATATAACTAGGAATATCAGGAAAATATCAGGAATCAATTTTTATTAACTCCTATTGAATTAATGAGCTAATCAGACTTTCCTTTCATTAGCTTCTATGGTTCTTTCAGCTGTGAATTTTTGATTTAATGAATTCTCATTGTGATTTAATGTCTACTGTATGAAAGAAATGAGAAGCTGCAGAATTTCTGAAGTCTCTTCCTAGGCAGGTCTCTTCTCAGGCTATACCTTCCTAGGTATAATTCCTAGGAATTATAAAAGTATTCTTACTCCTTGTATCTTGCTTTTAGACAGGAGCATTGTCGCTTGTCATCTGAGTAAAAGTATGGCAGGTATCGCTCAATCRATAATATTTACTGAGTTGATCTTTTTGTGTGGTTTGGATTTTCATCTGTGTGGAACGTATAATGAGTTACCTGTTTGCTCTTTCTAGCGTGGGGTCTTAGTTCTGTGGAGAATGGATCAGCGCGGTCGAGTGCAGGGCCCTCCGCTGCTGAAACACGATTATGGCAAATACATTTCTCACTGTATCTTCCGGCCACCCGCTCCTGGCGAGTAAGTATAAGTAAGCCCCTTGGAGAGCACTGGCAGGCTGGATCCTTCTCTCCTTCCATCGAAGGACTCCTTTTTCCAGATAAGCTTTCTTGTTGTCCCTGCTTGTTTGCAGGGACTTCATGCAGCTGGCTAAAGCAGCAGTGAGTGGTGATGAGAAGGCTTTGGATATGTTCAACTGGAAAAAAGCTGGAACAGGGCCACCTTTGAAAATGGGTCCACAGGAAGGACTGTCCTTCTTTATCACTTTGACAGATGGTAAGAACTAAAACACATTTCCACTCTGCTGAAAATTTGTCTCCTTAGTGCTTCAAAATACCTCACTGCAAGGTAATCCTGTTTTTATAAATGCAACAGGATATAGTGTTCCTAGAAACTGGAGAATGTCTAATAAGAAAATATGTATAAGAATGAAAGTGCTCACATCTTCGGGGTGAAGCTGTGCAAAATGAATGCTAAGGATATTGCATTAGCCAGGTTCCCACCACGTTGAGAGATCAGCAGATACTCTGTCCTGTTGGTGCGGATGAGGACTGTCTGCTTTTGGAAGTGCAATAGCTATATGTGGAAGGAGACGTTAGTCCTTGATCTGACATCTCTGACAAGTGGAACATCTTTATTAGAGCACTAAAGGAACATAGACTTTAAAGAGCCATAACTAGTTGTTGCTTAACATGTGCCTCTTCAGATGGAGAAGCACATTCTAACACACAAAAGTAAATGCGAGTAGAAATTGTCCTTATTTTGGACAAGACTGAAAATAATACATATGTTTTCTTTAGCCTTCTTCCTAAAGTTTTCTTTCTTTCTCTGACATGTGTCTGCTCAGCAGTTTTTCTGGTGTTGCCTTTTGTCTTCTTCTAACCTGTTAGCTGGAAAGTGTGTAACCAGTGTTCTAATGAGCATGGTTCTGGTAGTAATGTGAGTGTGTAGTCCTCTCAAACCAAGTGTTAGCAGCTCTGAAAATCCATTTAAGTTATACTCATTCCACAATGCAATTATAGCATAATTCATTGTTTCCATTAGCAAGAAGGGGACCTGTAACTAATACCAACACAGCTTTATATCAATTGCTGGAGTGCTGGGTGTTTATTTTGCAGAACACTGGACTTACACCTTCATTTTGCTGATGAGTTACAAGGTGCTTTGCCAAACATGAACCATTTAAATATAAAAGCCACACAGAGCACTTTTGAAACAACTGTCCAAAAATTGAGTCTTTGCTTAGCTGTACGTTACAGTGATTTTCAGGATGCCCAGCACCATCTAGGGACAGACACGCTGTCCTGCAAGATTCCTTACATTTTCTATCAACTGCTTTGTGTACAACAGGGTCTGTGCATTATGTGAATGAGAAAGGGAAGACAAGTGATATGTTGTCCGTAGACAGTCCTGTTCAAAAGCTTCTGTTCATGGAGAAAAGAGATGTTTTAGTGATAATAACAGAGAACCTGCTGTTGTCCTTACATACAATTACTCACGAGGGAGAGGCAGAAGAGCTCATGAAGGTAAGAGTCAGGCTGCAAGGTAACATTGAAATATTTTGTCTTTATTACTATATGTTAGTGTCTTTTTGTCGCTTTTTTTTTTGCTCACAGAGGGATCTACTCTTATTTTTCCATCTGAGATAAATACCTTGGTTAAGCAAATATAAAATCATTGAGACATGAAATAAAAACRTGTATTCCATAACTTGAAAGGATGGTTTTCATCTTGCCTTCCTTATTTTTTCTTAGCTGTTTTCCTTTTGATGCTATATTAATCTTTATTTATCTAGTTTTATTGAATTAGAGAATAATTGGAACTTGATAGTCTTCAAATTTCTGTATAATTTCACTATAGTCAAATGTTTATTAAATTGTTTTATGGATAAATGGCCCATAGTATACTCAGGTTTGTTATCATCAGTTGTTTAGAGCTGCCTTCTCTTTCAGATTAGTGGCAGTGGTACCTGTCCATCTTGGTGACATTGTCTTTGCAATTATGAAGGGAGGTTTTGTTCTCACTTTATCAAAGTGTTCTTCAGAACTGCAATAGTATTTTAAAAATAGTAAAAAAATGTAAAAATAGTAACCCACTAATAGTTATGTCATGACTCAGAAATGGCTGTAAAGGGAGAAACAGCAAACAGACTTCATCCTGGAAGTATCCTGATGAATAACTTCATCATGTTAGCCCAGTGTGTAAAAACAAACCAAAACAAAAATCCCACTGTACTGTTGGAGAGTGTGACTTTGAAAAAAAAAAAACTATTTTTTTCTCAGATTTTCTTCTAAAATTTTTTTTAAAAAATATTTGACACTTGCATATTACAGGYGTTTCTGCTTTTTATTTATCAGTACTTATTTTTGACTAGAAGTAAGACCTGGTGTGTAATATTTTAAAATAGTGTTGCTTGCTAACATTTCTTCTACTGCTTTTATATATGATACACCTCACTCATTTAGTGGTGGTAGTTGTCTGAGGGAAACTGTTGGGCTGTCTGAACTGTCTGCCAGATGCAGTAATTCTTGCTTTTTACCTTTGCAGCCACGGCAGGCAATTCAGATACCTAGAATCTGTCAATATGGATCAATGTTCTGATTTTTTTTTTCCTGTTTAACAGGTGAAGCTGAGTGGCAAGATGGGCCATTCTGCAGACATCATTTTAATAGACCAGAGTCTTATTGTTACAGCAGTAGGTGAGACAGTCCTCAGGTAAGAATCTTGTTTTAAAGTGGCTTTTGTTTTCCAATATAAATGCCAGCTAAAAGAATTACAGTCTGCAGTGGACTAAAGTTTTTCCTGACCATATAGTGTACCTTATTTTCTTGTTCTGTTTCTCAAAATAGATTTTTCATTCTCGTTTATTTTCTTGTGGAAAAGCTCTTTATATTTTCTTGAGGAGAAGCTCTTTATGAGCTTACCCTTTTTCTTTACCCTTTCTCTCAGGGTATTCTTTCTGTCAGTTCTACCCTGACTTGTTCCTGAGTGCCTTTATGCATTTCTTTCTGAAAATAGATCTGATTTTGAGCATGGAAAAGATAATCACTTCCTTGCTCTTCCCATTCTTACTCTGAGACTTAAGACAGTCACAGCATCAGCCACAGGAGAAATGTGCTCTGCTTGTCAAGATGTTTCTCTAACACATACAGTATAAGTATTTTGGTTATTTTTATCCCTAATTCCTTAAATATGTCACTTTGTTGCCTGCACTATTCTGTAAGCTTTATATTTTTACATTTTTTAAACTATCTGCTAAATCTTTTATTTTTTTAACTATCCTATGAGCACATGTCTTTCCCCTTACTTTCTTTTGGYGTGGGAGAGAAAACTCCAGAGACTGTCCACTAACATCAGCGGCTCTCTTCTCTGAGCCTTTATCTGTTGTTACTGCACTGAATCCTCTGGTGGATTTTGTGAGAAGGTGATAAAGACCAATTATTGACAAGGAATACATTCGGTTAACGATATTCAACAAAATGCATCTGGAATCCAAAGGACTACTAGGAGTGAATGAGACAGGGATTATCCTTTAAAAATGAGGAAACATGAGTAGGAAGAAAGCCACCAACAAACAGTGTGTTTGTTTCTGACTTCTTCCTTCATAGGAGAGTATCACAATACATGTAGCATAGTAAGAAGTCAGAGGAAGGAGATTGTTAAGAAATTCACATTCCTGGGGAAGCTGCTGACGATTTCATTTTAAAAATTAAATGATCCAAGCGTTCTGGAAGCAGCAAATTAATGCCACGTATAGCATCCTATTGACTGTGTTTAGCAAGCCACCTGGAAGGAAAAGCATTGTTAAAACTCTCTTGTTTTCTGTCCTTTAGATGCTGGGATTTGGAACGAGGTGAGAACTATGTGCTCTTCCCAGATGTGCAATTTGGCTTTGAGGCAGGAGAATGCATTAACTGTGTTTCTTACTGCAGTGCTAAAGGTGAGAATCTGCGATCTCWGTTTCCTAAACCTTGTCAAAGTATTAGTCTTCGGTGCCCTATAGCCATTTAAAATATTTATCTTGCTGCTGAGGACATGTTTTGGGATAATTTTAGTTCAGGTCAGGAATGTCCCTTCTGATGAGGTGGGGAGAGAATTCAGTACCCACCGCACATTGTTTCATGGTGTTGAGTGACCTTGGAGATAATTCAAAGAGCACAAACTGGGTTCCTTTGATGGCAATGAAGAGGAGCACGTGCTCCAGGAATGCACCTAACGCTCCACCCAGCAAGAGGCTTTCAGTCTACAGGGCCACACTGGAGCTAACCCAAACGTGCACATGGTCCTTAACACAGCCTGTTGCTCTCTGCAGTCACGCCTGGGTGCTGAAGAGTTTGCTGACCTGGGGACATGGCCAGGGTCTCTTAGAATTGATTTCAGTAGTAGCTTTTACTGCAGATGATTGAAAAATAAGTGGTCAGTATGAAATAATCTTTGATAGGATTAAAAGAGAACTTTGGTAGTTTAGGAGATGGATCTCATTCCATGAAACTTCTTCTGCGGCCTTCCCAGAATAGTTCAAGAGTGCTGGCTTGTAGGCAAGGCAAAGAAGGCAAAACTCCTGGAAGAGGACATCTTAAGACCTCAAAACCAGGATTTGGCTGCCTGCTACTTTGTTAATGTTGGTTTGKTCATCCCTTTGAAGTGAAATGTCTAAAAGGTTTGTGACTGGCAGGACTTCTAGCAGCTGGCACCAACAAAGGGCGAGTTGCTATGTGGAAGAGAGCAGCAGTGTCCAGCCGAAGCAGTGGGGCGCTGGAGGGCAGGGACAGGTGGAAGCTCCAGGCACCTACGGAACTTGACGGAAATATCACTCAGATACAGGTAAAGATGGGAAAGACTTTTGCACTTTAGGAAGACTTCACAAYGAATATGATATTTTCTCTCTCTCTTTTTTTTAATCAGAAAGTAAATGATGCCTTGTTTACTAGATTCGGGTTTTTTTACATGGCCTTTGTGGCAGACTATGCATGGATAGTGGTTTTCTAGGATAATTTTGCAGATCCAACATTTCAAAACATTTTTACTGTTTTTTTTTACATTATTTTTAATACTGAAAGTTATAACAATTCCTTATATTTTGAGATTTATTATTTTTTAATCCATTCTTCATTAAGCTGCAGGATTCAACATTTGTGATTTGAATTATTTTCAATGATGTTGTAAACTTACAATAAAGTCAGTAACCCAAATCTGTTAAGATGCTCCCATAACAAAAGGCTGAGGATATAGGAAGCAGTGTGTGCCATTAGCATATCATACATCTGCAAATAAGCTGGAAGGGAGGAAGAGTTACAGATGTTTATGTCAGCTTGACCATTCAAATATTTTCCAGCTAACAGGATATGGAGTGCTGTCCAGAAATAGCACCTTGTTCTCACTCTTTGTCAGAATAAACAAAACCACTGCCAAGCTACCGCCAGCAATCCCTGCATTTGTATCATTTTATAAAGATAACTTTAGCTATGGTTGCTACCATTGAATAAAGGAAAATATTTCCAAATGTAGTGATCAGTAATCTGCTACAGAGTTTGAACTACATTGTTGAGCCAAAAGGGCTCCCAAAGTTGCAGAAAAGAATAAGGTAGATGAATAAGAAACAGTGTGTGCAGSTTGTTTTTATGGATTAAAGCGTTGTTATTGCTTTTGCATATGTGCTTCTGTCTTGCAGTTTTAGATGTAAGGTGGTAGAATAACACCTTGGGAAAGAAAAATGACATGATATCTCCAGTCTCTAGCAATTCAGCCATTTGGCTGTGGTTTTATTTAGACAGTCGGACTTTGACACACACACACACACACACACACACACACACACACACACACACACGTATGTATATATATATATATACACATTTATATATATACACATACACACACACACACACACATATATATATTTACACACAGTTTCTCTCCCCTACTCCTGCTTCTTTGTTTTGGGACATAGCTATGAAAGCTTAAGGTCTTAGATTAAACGGTGCTGCTTTTTCTTCTTCTTTGCACTGTTTGCAGTGGGGCTCTAGGAGAAACCTGCTGGCAGTGAACAACATCAGCTCAGTGGTGATCCTCAGCGAGCAGGCCATGTCCTCTCATTTTAACCAGCAAGTGGCTGTGGTTCAGGTGTCTCCCAACCTGTTTAACGTGACCTTCTTCAGCACGGGAGCCACACAGAGTCTTCGTGTTGATATGAACGTTAACGGAGTCTACGCTACGAAGGTAACTTCCTAGCCCAGGTGTGGGTGGTCCTATATGTACATACCCAAATATTGACCTAGTTAACKACATAGTTTGTAGCTCGTTAATATAACTCTTCTCCGACCCTCTATTTCTTGTGTAGTGGACTGGGAGCATTTTTATGGCTGTAGCAGTCGCACAGCAGTGTAGTTCATTTTTGGCTAGCACAGCGAATTAGTAGTTTTCTGATTACCAAGTTCTTTGTTATGTGGCCAGAAACCTTCCACYCTGCTATACAGATGAATTAGTAAAAGATCTCGCTGAGTTATTACAGAAATTCTTGTGTWATTCCTCCCCAAAAAAGAATGAATAAGCTCTTTTTTGATTGCTTTAGGATGCTGTAGTATTCTGGAATGGGAAGCAAGTTTCTGTCTTCGAGTGCTCTGGTGTTGCCTTAAGAAATGCAGGTAAGACTTCAGAGGAATGAGTGGAGTATTAACAGTGTTAAAATGCTAACTTACAGGTTTGCTTCAATCATGTTAGATGAGAGAATATACCAATAATATTTAGATATCTAGAGGTCCTTTCCAACCTTAAGGATTCTATGATTCTGTGATTTTCCAGTTTGCACTTACAAATAGTAATTAGACTTAATGTTGCCATTTTGCAGAAGAGAAAGGTTGGGGTATAAAARTAGAGATCAGTAGTTAAACAAGTCATCTGCAAAACCAGAGCTCACATACTATCTCCTAGACCTGTACTTTATTCACTAAATATACTAGAATAAAATTAAACAGATTGACTTCAGAATATGCTGCTGGTTTTGTCTATAGGTCAGAGGTAGCACTGCAGCAAGAGAGGTAAAACTGAAGAGGAAATGCATTTGTAGGCATAAAATTAAAATCTGTATCCATGTAACTTCAGCTTCAGCCCAATTCTGGAGGTACCTAAAACCAAATGTATACTTCATTCGTAAAGTTTCTAAGGCACCAAGTTGTGCGATGTGCCTTGACAAAACTGAACTCTTCCACACAGCCTGGGTGTCAAGTCTACGTTTGGAAAGTGTTCTCAGATCCAGAATATCATGTCCTTACATAAATCTCTTATATGAAGAAATCTCCTTTTCAATAAATCACAACAGTTCCTTCCTTTTTGCATGTTTTACCTAAAGATGCTTTTGTTGTGATTGTTCCAGGCTCTTTCCTTTGTGACTCTCCAGTTTTGTGTGTGCATGAAGAAAATCTGTACACGGTTGAGCCAAATCGGGTCCAGGTCCGCACCTGGCAGGTAAGAGTTGATGGAACTAGTAGAGCAGAGAAATGATCCCTCTGAGGGCTGCCTAGCTCTGGCAGGATTGCTCCCTGTGGACCTAGCTGAGCAGACGTAGGCAGAAGGAGCATGTTCTTCTTCATGACAGCCGTAATGGTCACCTGAGAGTGTCATTACCTAAAAACGGGTGCATAAAGCTGACATTSGCCGATATACTTAGGTGTGCCACACTTGCCACTTGAAAGTTAAATGGAGGTAAACTTACCGACTCTACCTTTGTCACAGAAAAAAAATGTGTTCTTAATTTCAACTGAAAAGTCTTTAAAATGTCTGTCATATTTAACTATTGATACAGTCTAACTTGTAAATATTTATAATAGAAAATAGAATCCTATAAGGATTAAACTTTATAAGATGATCAAGATGCACACATACTGAATGTATATCTTATTAACAGGAATATGAATATACACAGTATTTTTATAAGGTAATGTAACATCGTATAGAAGTTCTGTTTGCAAGTGAACCAAACCTGCCAGTTCTTTTGTTTAAACGTTGCAACCTGAATGAGTTAATCCATGAGAAGCAAAGAGAAATCTATTAGAGTTCTGTAATACAGAATCTTATTTAAGAAATATTTTTTTTCAGAAATATTTTATTTAAGAAAAGGCTGGATTTATCACAATAAGGAATGATTTTATCTATTTACTTTCCCAGTTGTACATTAATAGGGCAGTAGGGCCTTGTATTTATATGTCCATTTTACTTGGAAGAAATTATATCATTGCTGACCCCATCTTTGCACAAGGATACCTCTAAAGTTGACGTTTTTGGAGGCTGTACATTCAGGTTTTGGACCTGAAATGCAGATTGCATTTGTTGAAACCCAGTGTGAGACGATGTGTGTGCTTGGGTGTCTAGTTTCTCTCATTTTGCTGATAATGATTTAGCTAACAAGTCCAGCAGGTAGATAACTTACTGACAAAATAAATCTCTCTTCCTTAGACCCTGAATGCCCAAAGTTAACGTTATGCTTGCCTCCTCAGGGCACAGTTAAACAGCTGCTGGTGTTCTCCGAAGCTGAGGGCAATCCCTGCCTCCTGGATGTCTGTGGGAATTTCCTGGCTGTGGGAACTGACTCGGCTCACTTCAAAATCTTTGATCTCTCTCGCAGGTATTAATCAGGCTTCAGAAAACCTGCATATGATTGAGGCTGGTTTTTTTTTGTGGTGAGGAGGGAACTTTTAATTGTTTTATTCTGATGAAAAGTGATAGCCTCTGTGAACTTCAAGACAATRCATCCATCTTGTGCATCCTTTTTCTAAAGCAAAGGAAGAGCCACAGAATTATTAGACAAACTATGGAAAGAGCAATGTAATATCAATAATCAAAAATACATATTTTATGGGAAATGTTTATGTGTATTTGAGAATGCGTGGAAAAGTTTAGAAAGATCGAGGCAAGGATGTCACATATTCCTGCTGATAGCCCAAGCAGGAATAATAATGTCCACTACTCCTAACATCGCTACCTCCATGGCATCAGTGAGTCGAGATTCATTGATTTATGGCAAGATATGAGACCCAACCCTTTTTGTATTTGTTTCACCTCTTATGAGATGGACACAATTTCAATGGAGTGGATTGGGCAGCTTGTAACTAACAAACATTTTGTATGGAGTATGATCTTTAACAGTGACAGAAATGAGCTTAATTCCTAACTGCCAGGTTACATTTCCGTAGTCAGTCAGGAAAATCCTCCCTCCCAAATGATGACCATAATGTCACATGTCAATGTTAAATCCATGGCACAAATTTAAAATACTGTCATTTTTGCCTGTCACCTTTACTGATTCACAAGATTTTTCCATTTTGTGCTGAATAGTTACTGTTTTGTAGCTTCAGAATGGAATATTTGTTTTGAGATGGGGAAAAAAGGGGGGCAAGTGTATGAGTGACGCAATATTGAAAATTGTGAACCATGAGAACTGACCAGTGTGGTGATGTCAATACTCTCCCTGGGCTGAGGACTTTACTTACGTTCCACATTCACAGTCCTCAGGGAACAGGCTATCTGCTCGATTCCTGGTAGAGGAAAAAACTTAGGCACTACAAATTCAAAATTCTGACAGGATATTCCTGTTGTGTGGCTCTGTTGATGGAATTCTGTGGGAGCACTTAAGTTTACTCTTCCTGTTTCATTGAGAGAAGTGGCCCGTTAACCTCTTCATGCAAGTAAGTCAGGTAGGAGCAATACTCTGGAGAGGAAGCTTCTCATAATGTAAAAAAGGTCACTGCCTGCTGAGTGTTGCTACTTTTATGCCACCAAATGAATTAAGTTTATTTCTTCAAACAGAGAGGCCAAAGTGCACTGCCAAAGCAAGAATTTCTGCCAGCTGTTTCCGGGCTTGGGAGGCCTTGCCTCTGTGAAGTGCAACGCTAACGGCAACAAAGTCAGCATCCTCGCTAGCAAGGTGAGGCAGGACTCTGCCCTGGCCGCCTGTGGCCGGACCATCGGCTGCCACACCGCTGCGGTGCAAGCAGATTTCTAACAACACGAGATTAACTTCCCAGAACTGAATTTACCTTTTCCTGCAATTCCATTGCAGTGACACTTGACATTCCAGGTCCAAGCGTGTAGCTAAATGCTAGAACTAAGCTGTTTTGTACATCCCATGAGAAGAACAACTTGGAAAGATCTGATTAGCACAAATGCTACTTTGTAGTATTACCAAGAAGTCAAAAGCTAATTTGTTGGAACAGAAAAACAACATGAAATTTTCTGGTGTTTCTTCCTAAGAATATTCTTCTGTGATTACCAGTGCACAGAACTATGACAGCATGAAGCAAATGAGAAGAATCATCTGAACTTTACCTTTTTCCTTGTTAGCTGCAGGCTTCAGTGACTCCGATTTTCCTTTTCTGTAGGTTGATGGGAACATTGATTCCAAGATCTGTTTCTATGATGTGGAAATGGACAAAGTTACTCTCTTTGATTTCAAAGCTCAAGAAGGAAACGGTAGAGAGAAACTTCCTTCTGGACAAGGCCTTAACAAGTAAGAAACTTCTATTTTGGAAAAAAAAAAAAAAAAAAGCCTTCTGCTTTTAAGGTAGAAATAGGCTCTGGAAAAGAAGTCACATCTTCATAGTGAGGTTTCTCTGTGTAGGAGCTTGTGCCAACTTTTCATGAAACAACTATTTAGAAATTATGTGTCTGCCAGAGAGCAGCTTAAATGAAAAAAGTCCATGAGAAACCCTAGCCACAAGGCAGCATCGCACAGTGACCTAGGAATTCGTAGGGACGTGCAGTGGAATGTTAGAGTCCAGATTTCCATTTGGTTTTATAGGGATTTATCTTTCTGTATTTTTCTTAAGATTAGACAGCCTTTTAATATGAGGTTTTGTTTTTAGCAACTAGTCAATGCAGATATTACTAAATGCTGTTAATCTTTCTGCGCACACACACACACACACACACACAAGAAAAAAAAACTACTGAGCTTACTAATGACTAAAGAGAGTGCAAATTGGAGTCTTATGTCTTGGTCGGTTATGCAAGCAGTGCAGCAAGGAATCATGTGTTTTCACATGTAGTATCTTGGGCAGCCCAACAGAGGCCAGCACAAACTGGGAATATCACTTCACTGATTTAAAATGCTGCATGGTGTAAGCATGAATAATCCATTTATCTGGTCTCCATTTATCTTGGAATCAGAATGAGTAAACTCATCAGAAAATGATTATAATGTATTGCTTCCCTTTCCCCCTATCCTGTTGAGGCAAAATCTAAAATCTCAACCCCCCCCCTTTGTTTTTTTTTTTTTTTAACACAAGTACTGTGTCTGCAAACGTGCAGAAACAGAATGGATTAGAAGTGGCATTGCCACATGAAATATAGATATTGAAATACAGAGTGACATAGAGCTACTGGTCTAGATAGAGAGCCTGCCTCCTGGTAGAAGGTCTTATTTTTTACATATTTTTGCTACATTTTAAGTATGAGCTAATGAGGCCCCTGCATAAAAATTAGAAGTTCCCACTTCTGTGCGAACTAAGATTTTTTTGCAAGAAAAAGCTTGAATTATGTAGAACTTTGCTGTACAGTTCCAGGGGATGCAGCCCTTGGCTGTGTGGAACCTCAGGATGTCACACATTGCATCTGTGTCCTCAGCTTCACGCTCATGGTGCAAGCAGAACAGGACTAGGGAGTAGGTGCAGAATGAGCAGACATTCCTTGCTGAGTGCTCCCAAGCTCATTCCCCTAGTGGGCATAGCTGTTCCACAGGAAGATGTAGCAAGGCAAGGGAAGCAAGGGATTTAAAGGTGGAATTCAGCTCCCTTTGCAACTTGAATGAGTAGGAACTTAGATGCTGCTGTGGTTTATTCCCTGTTAAAAAGACTCTTTAAAATCCTCACTAACAGAGAGAATTGAGAGGTCTTCTACAATGTCTTTGAGTTTTCTGCTGTTTTCTATTCGCCAATATGTTCAACCAACACAATATTTCAAAAGGAAAAGCCTTTAAAAATACCTATTTATATAAAGTCTATAGAAATATATATTGTAGTAGATGTATCGGAAATATTCTGGAGATTCAGTAGGCACGTCAGTTCTGTGGATTTCAAATTGTACGATAGACTGAGTGAGCTCTAAATACTTAGATTAGCAGGCTTTGCACTGCTTTTTATGAGCTTGAAACTAATGGGAAAAATAGAAGCAATGTCTTCTGCCTCACACATTCTGAAAAAAAAAGGTATATGCACACATTGTGATGAGTTATCATCATAAAAAAGTTAGTTCTTTTTTAGCCTTTCTTTATATTCATGCACTGAACAGGCTGCAGTTGTGCCATATCCCTTTCTGTGCTTCTTTGGTTGTCTTTCCCTGTGTCAGAACTGCTGTGGGATACCCAGAGCTGCACAGCCATGTCCCTGCTTGCCATTTCTGGGACCAGAGTGAACCACGACTTTTTGTGTGTGAAGCAGTCCTTGAGACAAGCCGCCAGTCTCCAGAGCAGAAGGAAGAACAGCCCGAGAGCACAGTATGGCCTTTTGGTTTCTTCCTTTTATCTTGCTCTGCAGGGAGCTCTCCTTATCTCAGTAATTAACTGCTTGCTCTTTGCTAACCCACAGGACCAAATTGTATTTTACGCCTCTTTTCTTTTCACAATAGCAAACAATACTCCATTTTTATTGGTCACAAATAATTTAATCAAAAAGCTGTTTTTTTCATCTGATGAACAATTTTCCCCTTCCCGTGTGCTATAAGCACTCCTTTGCATTTCGTCTGTGCAAAACTGTCTCATTTTCAACAATATTCCTTTGACTTTAAAATATTTCAGAATATTATTTTCAGAATATTTAAGGTTGGAAGGGACCTCTACAGATCATCTAGTCCAACCTTCCTGCTCAAGCAGGCACACCTACAGCATGTGGCACAGGGTGGCATCCAGGCGGGTTTTGAAGACCTCCAGAGTAGGAGACTCTACAACCTCCCTGGGCAGCCTGTTCCACTGCTCTGTCACCCTAACAGTAAAGAAGTTGCTCCTCACCTGGAGACGGAACTTCTTGTGTTTCAGCTTGTGGCCATTACCCCTCGTCCTATCGCTGGCCACCAGTGAGAACAGCCTGTCCCCTTCCTCCCTGCATTCTCCCTTCCTGAACTTATACATATTAATCATATCCCCTCTGAGCCGCCTCTTCTCCAGAGAAAACAGGCCCAGCTCGCTCAGCCTCTCTTCATACGAGAGATGTTCCATTCCCTTAATCATCCTGGTTGCCCTTCTCTGGACCCTCTCCAGAAGCTCCACGTCTCAATCAACATATCCATGTTGATTTAAGTGCTCAGATTCATCCATCATTTTAGTTTAACCTCTCCCAGTTAGAAATAGAAAGCTTTGTTTCTTCTATTGATTGAATAACTTGGGTTGTGGAAAAAACAAGGTGGAAAGGAATTGAGTGTCTTAAAAAGCCTTGCTCACATCCTCTAGCAAAGAGGGCAACACTTCACCCAGTATTTCTAATAGAAAGAAACAAAATTGTTTGACGTCTACATAATTTTGACAAATCAAAGGTATAAAATGAGTGTAATTAATTTCTTGGCCCATTTTCAAAAGTAGTTTTAGCTGTATACTTATTCTTTAACAAATTAGGAGTGATTAACTTTAGCTGAAGTGCTTTAATTTTGGTTTAAGCCAGGTCAAGATTTAAACCATTACAGAAACTTTTTTAGGTGGCTGGTATTTTCCCTAATATCTCTCATCAGTGATTTAGCTGCTGAGGTTATAGCAGAAATAGTGCCGCATTAAAAATAGAAAGCTTCTGGAGAAAACACTCCTCTGAGACAGATCTCTCAAAGAGAGACTCACAGATTTGCAATCGGCTGCCAGGGATGGGCACGTTGGTTCCTGGCAGGCTGGTTCTTGCGGCAGGGACACAGCTCCATTTCAGTGTGGACACGTTGGTTCCTGGCAGGCTGGTCCTTGCGGCAGGGACACAGCTCCATTCCAATGTGAACAGGTTGGTTCCTGGCAGGCTGCTCCTTACGGCAGGGACACAGCTCCATGCCACCATGGAGACGTTGGTTCCTGGCAGGCTGGTGCTTGCGGCAGGGACACAGCTCCATTCCAACGTGAACAGGTTGGTTCCTGGCAGGCTGGTCCTTGCAGCAGGGACACAGCTCCATTTCAGTGTGGACACGTTGGTTCCTGGCAGGCTGGTCCTTGCGGCAGGGACACAGCTCCATTCCAACGTGAACAGGTTGGTTCCTGGCAGGCTGGTCCTTGCGGCAGGGACACAGCTCCATTCCAACGTGAACAGGTTGGTTCCTGGCAGGCTGCTCCTTACGGCAGGGACACAGCTCCATTCCAACGTGAACAGGTTGGTTCCTGGCAGGCTGCTCCTTACGGCAGGGACACAGCTCCATGCCACCATGGACACGTNGTTGGTTCCTGGCAGGCTGGTCCTTGCGGCAGGGACACAGCTCCATTCCAACGTGAACAGGTTGGTTCCTGGCAGGCTGCTCCTTACGGCAGGGACACAGCTCCATTCCAACGTGAACAGGTTGGTTCCTGGCAGGCTGCTCCTTACGGCAGGGACACAGCTCCATGCCACCATGGACACGTTGGTTCCTGGCAGGCTGGTGCTTGCGGCAGGGATGCAGCCCGTAACGGGCAGTGACCTGTTGGCCATTTGCTGCAAGGAGGAAGCCTGCGGCTCTGCCCTCTCTGGCGGGGGGCTGTGCGTGAGCAGGGCCGTTGTGTGATTTGCAAGAGCAGCTTCTGCCAAGTAAAAATGGAAAATAAAAACAAAGCGAAAGAAGGATATTGCAGTATGAAAAACAAAACAGTACTTCGCTTCCTTTTCCAGATGGATGTTTTGATTATATCATTCTTCAGCACTGAAGAGCACGGCCTTTTGCTTCAGGAAAGCTTTCCACTGCCTTCATCCTACCAGGTTCTTTTGGGCATCGAGGTGCCACATTATTACTTTGCAAAAAAGGTGAGGAAATCATTTGCAATTCCATTCCCTTCCATAAACTTTGATTTTTCAATGCTGTAGCAGTCAATTTTACTCAGATTCTGTCTGGACTGTGTAGGGGCAACTCCAGTGGTAGTGGCTGCATCATATGCAGTAGTGACCTAGAGATCATTCTAATATCTATTTTTTTTCTGGCAGTTTTGGAGAAATTGTAATGAATTGGCTTTTCGTTTTTCAGGAATGCATCCTGTAGCTTCTTGGAAACTTGAATGTGGATCCAAAAGTGTATCTTAAGATGATGAATAGTTACCTTTATGCTGGACATGATGAAACTTAAATTGTTTTCGGAAAGGATCTCAGGTCAAGCTCTGACCTGAGTTATTTGTCTGTTGAAATAGTGATTTGTACTGCTGCCTTCTTCCAGGAGGAGCTAGTGGAGTCTGCTTGGCCAAAACACTTATTTTTGTAGAGTCTGAAGGAATGTGATATTAATGGTACTCCTAATCCTCCAAGTAAGGTATAAATCTCACATTAATAAGAGAGTCTTTATCTAGGCTTTGCTCTATTTCAATGTATTTCGATTCAGAGCAGGACTCTGCAGTGTATCTCCTCCCCAAAGAACAGACCGTATACAATAGTCTTCCCATGCAGACCTAACTTTTACAATTGTACTTTATTTTGCATTTTTTTTCCATTAATGTGAAAAGTCAAAGACGGTCTGCTGCATTTCCTTTCCCCATCATGTTTCATGTTATTTTACTTTGGTATTACATCTCTCTTTCTTTTTTTCTCTCCGTATGCTTATTGCTGCCTTTAGTTGTTTTTTCAGAGAGGATGTGTCTATAAACCTGTAAGTATCTATAATGTTATAGATATTGCTCCTTTTCCTTCAACTTGCTTTTTTTTTTTTCTGTTTCCATTTTTTCCCTATAGTAATTTACTGCATTTTAAGGTCTAAATTACTTGTTCTGTGCTAATTCATGTTGCAAACCTGATTCAGTGTATAGCCAAGGTTATTTTAAATATAGAAAGTGAAGTTGATGCAACCAGGCTTACATGACTGAGTTTCAGCTCAGGGCTCCCCCTTATTCATTATAATGCCTTTCCTGTCCTTGTTCCAGAAATTGCCCAAATTTGAGGAAATTGGGACACTACGAATTTGGAGACAAACCCATTTGTCCTGCTGCTGAAATTCCAGAGACTCCAGAACTGCCAATTGTACAGGAAAGGGTTTGAAGATGAGGCTTGGTTTGGTGTTCACCTCCTATGCAGGCAAAAATAAAAGAATTGGTTCTAAATTGTTACCTTTCCAATAACAGACTCATCTTTGAGAAAAGACTAGGCTTAGAAATGTTTATCTGAAATCTTCAGAAATCCAAGGAGTTAATGGTTATTTTCAGAGAGTCTTAATTACGATAGTTGTTGCTGAATCTGTATCTCCTAAACATTGCTGAGGAAGTATTGGGGTTGTTCATTAAATGTCATGCTAGACTATTCTGTGACATTCTGTCTGTGAACAGACCCCTTGTGACTGTTCACTCTTGATCACCATCCCACAGAAGTAGAAAACCTGGACTCCAGTGGAAATAATCATCTAAAGAACAGACATGTGAAGGAGTTTTCTCCTGCTTGGTACCTAAATGATATCATTCTCATTTTAGTCAGGAGAAGCTGAGACAGAAGGACAAGCAGAGTCTGGCTCAGCAAAAGTCTCCCAGATGGTTGCCCGAAGACCCATGAGAGATTTTGTTGGATTGGGAGATTGTGATAAGACTACCCGGGATGCCATGCTGAACTTCAGCTTCTATCTGACTGCTGGAGACATGGATGAGGCCTTCAGATCCATAAAGCTTATCAAAAGGTATCGTGTTTGTATGTCTTCATGGATAGAGTTTATTTTATTAAAAGTCTGTATGAAGTTAAATTTTCTTTTCCCCTTTCATTTTTCAAGCAAGATGCAGTGCTTTACAGACATTTGACATAGTCTTGTGGATTCTTTTTTACTAAATGGGGAAAGATGAATTGAAAACCAGTTTTTGCATCTGAATTGCAGATAGCCCACATTATGACTAGAGGGGAACTGAACATTCACAACTTTATTTATACATCTAAAATAATCACAGTAATACCAAATATTACAAATTTACCGACAATATAGCTGATTTTTAAATTTAAATGTACATTATTATAATACGGATATTGCAATATTAGAAGAAATAATATAATGTCTTTTAAATATTCCAATATCTTATAAAAAATGCAATTAATTATAGCATGTTATTTCTAGAAAACATAGAGCTTTTCCAGAAAGTAATGCAGACAAATGAATACAAATCTTAGTTGGTTTTTACAAACCTACTGTTAGAAGAAACTCTGTCAGCTTTATGGTATTGTACCCTGATAGCCTAGAACAAAGCACTTGTTCTAGAGCATCAGTCTCTGCAGAGAGACTAGTTGCTCACTTTGAACATGGTGCAGAGTGGCAATTGGGGTTGAGTTTCTTATTACATCAGAACTGGGTGCAGAAGAGAACTCAAGAGCCAGCTTGATGATCACTTTTTCCCAAAGTGTGGCAAAGTTTGTTGGATGTAACGATAAAGAGGAAAAGTGACAAATTCAACTGGGAGCAACACAGCAATCCTAAAGAATTTGTAATGTTCACAGCTGCTGATCCTTCAAACCGATCGGTAACTACTCAGGGCAGCATCCTGAAGTGTTCTTAAGCATCTGTCATTGCCTCAAGTTTCTGTATTTTAGGTATTTCCATATACTAGTCTCCGACCTGATGGTTTTCTTCCTGAAAGTTGCATGCACTTGACATTTGTGAGCCTTTACAAACGTGATGTCTGATTTTGAGGGTGCTAATGATTTCAGTTTCATTACTGGGTTAATCTACCAGGCAGGTCTTTTTCTCTCATGGCTAAGTCTTGTATCTATGTCTAGTTTCCTGGTTTGTGTGTTTTGGTAGCCACGAAGCCTCAGTGTTCCTCTGATGGATGTGGATGTTCCTCTGACCTCTGATGGGCAGAACTGAGTGTCCCTGACATAGCACTTTGATCGGGAAATGGCATGGCAAATAAGCTGAGGAGAAAATTACTTGGGCTGAAATGTGTGTTCTCAGTACCCCTTTCCAATACAGCGAGCTGACAGTAGCAGGGGTTATTAGGGAGCCTAAGCAGCCTTGTCACATCATAACACTGAAGTGGATTTTCAGCGCCTTGTGTAGCCTCTTATAGCTGGGTAATCTCCTCCCTGTTGATGGCATATCTTTATAGCAACAAGACAATCCCAAACCTCAGTTTGGGAATATGAAAGACATATCTGGGGGAAAAAGAATGCAACTTAGTTCTTCTTCATTCCCTTACTTTACTATTAGTGTGGTTGGAATTGTACTTTTTGCTTTCTCCTGTGTGGATCATGCTTTGGCTTGCAAGTAGGGGATGCAGCTAATTAGAAAGTCCTTGAGGAGAAGAGAATGGATGCAGATGAAAGGACTAAAGAGAATTGAAATTTAAACTCCATGTAGAAATTATCACTTATACAGTGAGTTTTCTGCTTTCTCAGATTGCCTCTTTGTTAACTCTAAAGGAAGAATAATTATCAGTGATCTCCTGTAGCTTTCTTGAACCATCCTTAGGGAGCAGGAGAACATCATCCAGACGCAAAGAGTGTGTGTGGCTGCCTTTTCTCTGTGGCCTGAGCACATATACTCATGTGTGCTCCAGCTGAACCCCCTTACATGTGGCTGTGTTGTCCTGTCAGGAATGGAACAATGCGATAGTCTGTGCTGTACAGCAGAGGGGAAGGGCAATATAATATATATATATATAATTATGTGCATTATACATATGTATATAGATGGAACCCATCCAAATAATAATGGAGGGCCTCTGCCCACAAGAGCAAGCGCTGTGGTGTCCTTCAACCCTTGGTTTTAAATTATGGCAGATATTTACGGAGAGCAGCTGCAGTGCGGCGCTCCTGGGCGCTCAGCAGGGCGACTCCACGTAGTCGTTCTCGAGGCCGCGGCGGAAGCGAGCGGTCAGCGTGCGGCTGATGACGATGACGCGCGGCGCCATGCAGTCCTCTCGCCGGTGCAGGATGTTCCAGATGAGGATGGCAGCCGCCAGCGTGGCCAAAAGACACGCTCCGATGTTCAGGTAGCAAGACCACGAGAGGTTGGTGTACGGGCCGATGCGGTAGAAAGTCACCAATCCAATAACCAGAACGAAACCTGCAACGAGGAGAGGACAGGATTGTTTTAATGAGTTATTTTGTATTTCTCTAGTAGTGAGGCATCTTAGACCATGTTTTTTTTCTTGCCCCATCCTCTTGTTTCACTAGCACAAATGTCGTCTTTCTTATTCCCGCTGCCAACATAGCAAATGGGTATATTAATAGTAATAATAATGAAAATCCTGTGTTCAGAAGGAGTTATTCTTACTTCTGTACTGTAAAATGTTTATTTAAGGCAAGTCACTGTTATGAATCTCAAATACAATAAATAGCACAATATATGTTATCGAAATAAAAACAACAACAAAAGAACAACAACCAAAAAAAAAACCCAAACGGAAGAGTAAGTGGAATCCTATGGCTCCATCTTTTCCGTGCTGGAAAAAAAGTGTTATGAGGGAAGAAACCAGGCAGGAATAATACTGTGCCACCAGCAGCTATCAGAGCTAAGGTTTCTGTTTCTTGCCTAGTCTTGAGCACACATTAGTCCTTAACATCAAGCAGAGTATCATAAAAGCTGGCAATTAGGTAATAATGCTGCACTTAGTTTCCATCCAGATGGCATCATTTGCAAATACTAAAATAAGTTTTGCATGTCCTTTTGGATGTACTCCATTGCTGTCTGATAGTGTTCCCTGTTTCACAGATGAAGTAACTTCTAGTCACACGGAATTGTGTGTTAAGAGCAAGGGACAGAAATGAAACCCCTCGACTGCCACTTTCTTACCTCAGTGAGACTGCCCTCCTGCTGCAGAAGGCATCAGTGGTTCATAGTTTCCTCTCTGTCCTCTGGGCCTTGCGTTACTCTTTCTTCCTATCCCTTCTACCCAACAAACTTTCAGCTTTTAAAAGGCAATTTATAGCTGTAATTAGGTTGAAACAGTTATAGAAGAGGCAGCTATGTCTCACTAACGGGGGAGAAGCTTCCTCCCTGTCCTAACACACATAACTATCTCTGCCCCTGCAACACCAGGAGCATCATGGACAAAAGGACTGGCTCCTGACCAGGATAAATGGGCTGTAAAGGACCGGAAGGGCCAGTAGATACCATGTCCTGAAGGCTGTGGGCAAGGAAAGGTCGTTCCTTGCGAGGTGCAAGGCCTGAACGCGGCGCTGAGGGGCGGCGCGTTCCCACGGGCAGGGCGCAGGGCTCTGAAAGGCGGCGCGGGCGCCACGCGTGCCATCCTGTCGGGGCAGGCTTGGCCTTACAGAGAGGCTAGCAGTGTGGTGGAGATAAAAAGATAAAAAGGTTGTACAGATTATATAAAACAGTAAGGAGATGAAAGAAAAATATCGGAGTGGGGGAATTGATCACCACTTACACACGTCACTTATTCTGAAAGTCAATGTTGAGAAAGACAAGTCCTCATAGATTAGTGTAGAATGAGTCCTAATTCAGAAAATATCTGTCATCCTCGGCTCTCCTAGAAGCTGACTGGTAACTCCTTTAGCTCCTTGCTACTCCTCAGCCTCTTAAAGTAGCCTTGTGCAGGAGATGGCAGGTACCATGGAAGTGAAGCCATCCATGAAGCTATTCAAGATAGATGAAGAGGAAGTAGGTTCTTTAGAAGGAGTAATTCTTTCCTGCTCCTTTGCCACGCTGTAGTTGCATCTGCTATGAAGAGAGGTGTTCCAGATAGGTTTGAGGCTGATGAATCCATTGTAAAGATGGCAATTGGGAGAACACCTCTATTTTGTCCCTGTGGTTCTTATCGACATTGTGAAACCTTGTAGGCATTTCATTATTTGGTTTATTCAGAGAGGAACTATTGTGTGGGGGAAGAGTGCAGCCACATGGAGCACATCAACCTAACTGCATTACAGAAACCATGGACTTGTACACTGGTTGTTCACAAGGGCTCCAAGCTGAGCCCACTGGGTTGTTTAGGAGACCATTTGTGTTCCCCACATTACCTGAATTGGAGATGGAATCCTACCAGGTCATCATATAGCACTATTTCTAAATGTACAGGTTAAAAAGTTACTTCCTGTTTTCTGTTGGATAAAATACTGAGTTCTGATTGAGATGGAAATGTAGTGAAGCTTTTCGTGACAAATTAAGTATAAATCTTCATTTTTTTTTCAGTAGTCACTGATGGATGACATGTTTTACATCAGACCAAGTGACCTTTTAAAATACTGGCAGATGTTATCCACATCCATGAATGGTGCAGACTGTTGGAGGCAAATTATCTGTAAACATCTGTGGAAAGAATTGATGCTAAACTTGTTGAAGAAGAGTTTGCTGGAGAGAGGGAGAGATCCTGGATTACATGTGTAATACCTGAGTTTCTTCAGTTCTTCTCTGAGATGACTTAATTCCCCATATTTAGAACCAAGAGAAGAAATCTTCTTTTTCTCCCATGTTCTGTTTTGTTTTTCCCAGCTGTGATCATTTGGGAGCAACGTATGTCAGTTGTCTTTATAGAGAAGTTGTATCTCCTCATCTCTATCTGAGATCTTTAGGTCTTACAACACAAATAAATAGTAATTATGCTCTTCTCCTCCCCGGATTGCAATCCACTTTTGAAGGATGACAGCTATTGCTGTTCCCATATAAAGGCAGGAAACAGAGAGGGAGATTGTTTGCGTTTCCTGTGGCCAGGTTAGGGACCCGTTTCTTTTCCTTCTGTTTTCGAACTCCTGGAGGAAGCAGAGCACCAAGGAAGGAATGAGAGACCCAGCTTATTGATGAGTCCCTTCAGTGCACGTCGCTAATTTATATGAGGTTAGTTTTCTGTTCAGACACCCTTCTCCAGGCTGTATGCATTTTCATAGGGATAGAAAGGAAGAAGTGTGATATAAACCCCAAACCTGTCTGAGGCTCATTGGTTGGACTTGAAATAGTTGTAACTAATATACATTTTAAGGCTGGAATTCAATTTGATACTACTTTTTAAGGAGGAAGAACTCAAGATCTTAAGCTGTATGTCAAGACCACTTATGAATACTAAAGGGCAATTGCAAGTATTAATAATAGTCATCTTTACACAGCCTCACATTTCTTTAGGCTGTCTTAGCAGAGAGAGCTGGGTGCAAGACGACCAGTGATACAGAGTACCCTGATGTACTAGGTTTGTAATAGGTCTTATTTTTCTTCTCAGTGTTTTCTACAGTGGAGTGCACAGAACTGGAGAGAGTGTGATCAGAAGCTTGTGGAAATCAGCAGCAGCCTTTCCACTGGCTTCGTAGCTTTAGTTCATATTTTAATGAGCCCTCAGGTGCCAGCTTGTAGGGTCACTGCAGGTTAAAACACAGCACATTGAATGAATGCAGATTCGATGCCAGGATTGCACGATTTCCTGTTACTGAACTGGGACTGCTGCCTTCTTCAGTGCAGGTTTACAGGTATTTGTCACTAGCGTTTGGAAATAGCAGGTGATAGAGCGTCCAGATTCCTGCCCCAATGTCCAATCTGCTGGGGCAAACCTGCTGGGAAAAACACCTAGGATTCATCGCCTTTTTGAGAGCTGAATTCTCTGGGCATGAGGTTTTTCACCATTCTTTGCTCATTTGGCTAAGGCAAGCAGCGATGGGCCATGTATATATATTCCTTTATGGTACTAGAGAGGTAAATAAATGCTGCGGAGGCCCCTTGGCTGGAGCCTGGCTCAGACCCAGCGCGCGACGGGCTTTCTGCCCTGGTTTGTGCTCATGCGGAGCTGGTGGAGCTGGGAGCCGGTTGCCTGCAGAGCTCCCTGCCTCAAGTCTACGGCTCTTGAGGGTAAAACACAGCATCTACTCGGAATATTTTATGTATTTTGCCACCGGCTGGGCAGGATGTGATATTTCAGAAGAGAGAAAAACGATAGTCCAGTGGTTCTGAAAGGGAAAGCCTAAGTGCTTGTGAGAGGTTTCCCAGTCAAATGATTTTATTGATGCAACAAGATGGGGTTCATAAAATGGGATATCTATAGTTGGAGGAGTGCTGCTTTTCTAAGGATAGCTTTACGTGAAGACCCCCGATTCTCACACAGTGGGGAGAGGTTTTGCACGTGTGCCACAGGTCTTGTTTGCTCTTGGAGCAGTCCTGTATGGCAGCAAAGACTTCAGCCCAGCCAGGATGTCTGGGCACCTCCAGTTCATTTACCGGTGCTATTCTGATTCCTCTCTCTTAGGGAATAGATTTTGATTTAGCTGGGACTCTGCTGCGTGACTGTGGCCAGAGAATGGTCTTTTTTGCCAGTCTGGAGGATGCAGCATTAGGACTGGCATGTTACACGAGTACCATTTGGTTGCTGGTAAGCAAATCCTAGTGCATTAATGGGATACGATCTCATTTCTGTAATGAAAGAGAATAAAACTGAAGTTTTACTACGGCTTTATTTTTACTAATGTATGTCAACAATGTATCATCATGGGATCATAGTCCCTAAATCTGTTTACTGCCCACATGGTGACAATCATTAATATTTGGCGGTCTGTGACAGCATCTTTATCTGTTGCTGTTGAATTGCTGCTGTTGCTGCATATTCAATTAGTGCATCACTTTTTGTGGCTTTGTGGTAGGGGAGAAGGATGCTGGGACTCTGCTCCTACAGATGGCTGAACAGCCTGGGTAACGCTCAGTTGTTGCTGTGAATGTGCAGAGCGCAGGGCATTTCCTATTGGAAAGCAATTAAAATATCTACTAGAATAGTATCCTTTGTAGTCCTTGTTTCTTTTAGGAGGGCTGCAGATGGGAAATAGCTCTTTACTACTATGCGTTTAGTTACAAAAATATGAAATCTTTTGTTCTGACTTAGTCTCCTTTCTGTTTCGCAGAGATGGCAGGGTTGTGGATGCACAGCCATCTTGCCCTACATTAGTTTTGCTGGTGGATAGTTAGGCTGGGGAAGAAGTGCCTGTCAGTTAAATTCAGGTCACTTTATTGTGCATTGTGTAAAGTCTGCACAGGGGCCAGATCTTTCCTAAAACCCTGATGAGATTACTTAAAAGCCCTTGATTTTCCCATAGAGCTGTTGTTTATCTCTAGTTGTTTCCCAGCGTTAGCAAAAC